CTATATTTGTACATTAGAAAGCTAAGAAAGCAAAGGAAATTCAAATCAAAGTAATCAGAATAAAGATAAGAATAAAAAACAAAGTAGAAAAATAAAGTCAACAAAAATAAAATTAGGTACTTTGAAAAGATTACCAAAATTGACAAATTCAAGCATATCTTAACAGGAAGAAAAGAGAAAAAATACATGTTGCCCATGTGAGATGAAATAAATAATCCACTACAGATTTCAGAGCCCTAAGAAAAGAACGGTAAAAATATTGTGAATAACTTTTTCAATAAATTTAATAAAACAGATGGAATGGAAAAGTTACTTGAAAGCCCTTCTTGCTAATATTTATAAAGGTGAAACAGAAAATATGACTATTATATTTAGGACTGAAATTGAATCCATAATCAAAATCTTTCCTGTTACTATAACTTCCCATGTAATATAACATTATTTCATTAGTAAACTTCATCAAACATATAAAGAAACAAAAGAAATCTTAAACTCTTCAGATAAAGGAAAAAAAGGAATACCTACCCATATTTTTTTTATTATACCAAAAACTGTCAAAGCATTATAATAAAAGAAATCAATACCTCTTATAAACATAAAAAATCCTAAAAATTGTAGAAAATTGAATCCAACAATATATAAAAGTTAAAATGTCATGCTCTGTCAAGTGGATGGATATAATACAAACATTTCTAATAATATAAAAATTTCACATTATTAGTCAACATTAATCTTTCTAAGTTAACAGAATAAAAGAGGAAAAAAAGCCTATTATTGTCTCAATAGAAACAGTAAAAGCGTGTTACAAAACTCACTTAGGATACACATTTTTAGCAAATTAAAAATAAAAAGAACTCCCTCCATTTCATAAAAGGGATCTATGGATATATTGAATGTTTTTCCCTAAGACTGGGAAATAGCAACAATGATCATTCTTAACTATTTTATCTAGTATTATCTTGGATATTCCAGTGTTTATAATAAGGCAAGGTAAGGGGTAAAGACTAGACACATATTTTCTATATGTTCTTTCATATAAAAAATATTAAATAATGTCTCAAAATTATGAAAATTAATAAGCAAATCTGATGTTATAATATACATAAATGAATAAACAATTGGCAAATAAGGTTCTTATAATAACATCAAATATCACATTCTTAACAAACAACAAAATATGTCCAAAACCTCTGTAATGAAAACTATAAAATACTGCCGAGAGACTTTAAGGACCACTTAAACAGTAGAGAGATACACCTTTTTTGTCAATTAGAAGATACTGTCAAAATATCAATTATTTTCAAATTGACCTATGCAATTCCAGTCAAAATCCAGGTAGGCATCTTAAAGAATAATGGGAGCTAATGAAAAACTAAATTGCTCTGCATAAGTAGAAATCTTCTGTTAAGAAGAAAAAGCAGCAAGAAACTGATGAAAAATGACAACTGACACTAAATCTTGTTTTCCATGACACCATAGAGGTGATGGGGCCTAAGGTAAACTGAAGAGCAGACCTGTCTCAGAAGGGTCACACCTACTGACTTAGTGTTTCTTGATATGTGGAAATGGTAGTAGCCAATATTAGGAGTTTCTGAATTTCAAAAAAAGCTAGAAATTATTTATGTGAAAGTTTCTAATTTTAATTTTCAGAATAACTCAACCCACTTTTTTCTCACCATGAGAATGGGAAAGATTAGATGTCTGAGAATCTGAGGTTCATATTGCATCATTGTGTGTTCCGGTATAGACTTTAAGAGATGGTGGGTCTGCAAAGAAAATAGTTACTGGAGGATAGAGTTGAGTTGGAATGTAAAGATCTAAGCTCATGATTTTTAATATGTATTTAATACTTTCTATGATTCAGGTAGTAAATTTAGGAACTATTTGTATTTTAGAAAAGAAAACTGAGTCTTCAAAAAGTAGCACATACGGGGAGGAGCTGGCATTTAAACTCAAATTTGCATGACTTTTGAGCATAAACTGTCAGCCACAAAACCTTTTCTCCCCCATACTTAGTAGGTATCTAGAAAAAGTCCAAGTTAAGGAAGCAGCCCAAGTATGGGGTGGAAGTTAGAACTCAGCGCAAAGCACACCTCTCATCTTATTTGTGTTGTTTCCTCCCAATTGCCACCAACAAGAAGAGCACAGCTTGGTATTATCATGTCAGAACCTAGACAATCAGCACAGTTACTCTTCGCATTGAGAACATCCTCCAGGAATGTCATTCACTGTTTATGACTTATCACTGTCTCTGCAAGCAAAGCTCATATTCTCAGCTGACCTCAGTGAGCATAGTAATTTTCAGACATGGAACTAATAATCCACTTGAGCGTTTGTGAGTCCAGTGGAGTGAACTGCATTATCCACTCCTGTGTGTGATTAAAGTCAGAACAAGAAGGCAGGCTCAGGAGGCATAGTGAAGCCCAGGTATGCAAAGGGGAAAACTGGTTATGTTTTCTGGCTTGCCAGCCTCCCAGGTCTTCCACCTCCATCACTTCCTGGGAACCTCCACCACCTTTGCAAGGATCCTAATGTGATTCAGGGGATGAAGACCCAAGGATACAGAATATTGTTCCAAATAAAGATGGATCCTTGTCCTCAGAGAGCCAAGGGGACACTCCTGCTCCCAGAGGGCTCTAACCAGATAAACAGTTGAGTTGGTATTTATTAGTACAGCATGATGGTAGGAAATCCATAGACAAATGTGGATGCTTAGCCAACTCCAGCAAGCATGGGCTTTCCAAGATGCACTGCTGATACCTTCCTTTCTTTAATGCCTCTCTCCATCCTTGTCTGCACCAATCCCTTTATTCTCCCAAGTCTTACATGGGAAATATCAGGAACAAAGGCAAAGGAAAAATAGTCATGAGATGTTTGAAAAGTGCCACTAAGCGGATGACTGTTGAGTGTGTTTGTTCAAGGCAATTTTTAAAAACAATGTTAATTCTGTGGACTAGTCTTCAGAACATTCACAGCTAGTGGGTAGAAGACATACTGCTGTAATATAACAAATGCCACACAGAGATGTATACCCAGTGCTTTCCTCATCCCCACCCTCCAATTGGCTGCAGGTAAAAATAATCATACTCTGGAAAGCCTCAGACATTGAAGTTGGGGGCAGGGCAAGACAGCTTGAGCTCTGCGCATGCCAAGAGGACCATTTTCCAGCCCCACACCCTATTCTGTTGTGCAATGCAAACTCATCTATAATCTCCTGCCTAAACTGGAGCAGTTTTAATGGTAGGACTTTATTCCCTGTGGTTAGTACATTTAGACTTTCACTGACATGAGATGCCTTCTCTTGGTTCAGCCAAGCAGAGGCATCTCACTGGTTGATTGGCATGTGCCTTAACAGGAGAGTGGCTAACATCCTGGATAGCAAAGGAGTGATGCCTGACTTGCAGACATTTCACCTTGATGGAGGGTCCGATGCTTTGCTGGTTCAACTATTCCTGTTTTGTAGAAGAGCTGAGCTTCCCAATCAGAAGAGTCTGAGTCTGAATCACAATAATGAATGTCCTTGGGCACCTTACTTAAACTCACCAAGTCTTAATTCCTTCACATCTAAAGTTAGGACAATAAGACTTGCACTACTTAAATCATAAGAGATGTGGTGAGTAGTTAATGAAACCATGCCCACAATCTGCTTAGCACAGGGTCTAAAACCTAGTGAATTTTCAATAAATGTTACTTATTGCACCAACTGCCGCCCAGTCACATATAATAGATGTTCATTAAACACTGTGCAAAAGCAGCAAGGGAAATAGACAAAATGAGAACATGCAAATGCGCATCCTTTAAAGCCAAAGTTACATTTATAAATCAAACTCATTGCATATTTTATTCTCGAAACTACCTTTCCTGGGACAGAAAGACTATATGGTACACTGGCAGGAAACAGAGAGACTATATGGTACATTGGCAGGAAACCTGGCTTGGCTCTGACTCCTGCTTTGTAAAGAATGGAAACTTAAGCTTTAGTTGTGCGGAATCTGTGAGATCTGCCACCTCTGGATGCACAAACACAAAACACAACCACATAATGCAGTGTGGAAATTAAGTATGATACGCTATATCAGTTCTGGGCACATTAGCAGATATTGAAAATGGTTTCACAGTTAGACATTTTCAATGGATGATAAATAGGGTTAATGGATTGTGACTGAAATACTCCTGCCCTCTTAAATCTTCCAGGAAGCTTTTAAAACTCGTAAATACATATTCTTCATGATGGCTTGCTAAAGTCTGCTCTGATTCAATTTCAACCTGCTTAGGACTGTGCAAAACGCAAAAACCTGCTTGCTGAAACATCCAAACCTTGGCACTTAAAAAAAAAATTGAAAATGATGCTTTAAATCATTAAGCTTTCTAGCATTTTTTGACATCCTATACATTAGCATTGGCCTGGTGTTCATCTTTTAGAATAGAATCCAAGCAGAGTATTTTGTTTGCCTGTTTATCTCTGGAAGTTTCGGAATGCTCAGGTGTGTTCCTTGGATTTATTTATGTAATGATCCACATAATGTGGAAAGTCAAGGAGAGATTTTGAGCCACAGATCTTGTCATCTTGTAGGATGCAAGGTCCCCCACTTTAAGACACTTAGCCATGAGTGAACCAAGCTCACTTGAGTCAAAGGAGGAATAGGACAGACAGCACTGTCACACCATGTGATGTTACCTATCATTGTTTCCTGAGTATAACTAAAAAGGCTCACAAATATATTCCATGATGAGCATTATGATAGTTATTTTTTTTTTTAATTTTTTATTGCATTTTAGGTTTTGGGGTACATGAGCAGAACATGCAAGACAGTTGCATAGGTACACACATGGCAGTGTGTTTTGCTTCCTTTCTCCCCTTCACCCACATTTGGCATTTCTCCCCAGGCTATCCCTCCCCACCTCCCCCTCCCACTGGCCCTCCCCTTTTCCCCCCAATAGACCCCATTGTTTAGTACTCCCCACCCTGTGTCCATGTGTTCTCATTTTTCATCACCCACCTATGAGTGAGAATATGCAGCGTTTCATTTTCTGTTCTTGTGTCAGTTTGCTGAGGATGATGTTCTCCAGATCCATCCATGTCCCTACAAACGACACAAACTCATCATTTCTGATTGCTGCATAATATTCCATGGTGTATATGTGTAAATTAGTTCAACCATTGTAGAAGACAGTGTGGCAATTCCTCAAGGCCTTAGAAATAGAAATTCCATTTGACCCAGCAATCCCATTACTGGGTATATATCCAAAGGACTATAAATCGTTCTACTATAAGGACACATGTACACGAATGTTCATTGCAGCACTGTTTACAATAGCAAAGACCTGGAATCAACCCAAATGCCCATTGATAATAGACTGGATTGGAAAAATGTGGCACATATACACTATGATAGTTATTTTTACCAAAACATTCAGTAGTTATCTGCTGTGTTGCCCTCTAGTGATAAGAAATCATCAATGGCAAGAAACCGGTGGCAGTGGCATCTCAGCAGGATAGATCAAACACCGGGAACAAAGAAGAAATCAGAGGCAGCTGCAGTTTGCCATGGAGCTGGTGAGCCCAAGATGGAAGAGTTGTATGGAAAGAACAGTGAAGCATGAGAACTATTAAGACAGGAAAGAGAATTCAAACTGAGACTGGATAGGTGTGTCTTACTTCCCGAAACTTTCTAAAGCATATTACCTTTGAGGCAAAAAGGGAAGAAAGCCATTATCTTTTAACCCATATCCTGGAGATTATAGAAGTTTTTTTTACTGGAAGACCAACATAGCGGTGCTGTACAGAAGGATGCTTTAATTTGTGTGGAAACTCTGCGTTCAAGCCACTTTCCAGCTAGATGGGTTTTTTGTTTCTGTTTTTTAAACATTTTTTTTGGTCTTGAGATTTTAATTGTATCTTTTGAAAAGGGGGACATTCAAATCTGCCTCATAAGATTTCTTTTCTATATTCAGTGAGATATAAATATTTTAGAAACTTCAATTCTATATGTGTCAATTATTATTAACACAATCATTAATTTCTCATTAGGAGATAATCCAACAAGACAGAGTTTCTCCTTCAAAGGAGCTCAAGTCCAGAGACATGAGTACCGATTCCTGGTGGATGGACTGGAGAAGCAAGTTCACCTAAGTCATGCTTTCATCTTATTTCAGTGTAGCCTCCACAGCATCCATAATAGTAAATTAACTAAAATCAATATTTCTAAAATGATTTGCTAACAGTAATGGTGAATAAAATATTGTTTTTTTTTCCTTAGGAATATTCTCAAAAGATTTAAGAGATTTAGAAGAAATGAGTCCTGGGGACCAAGCATTATACAGATTGGAAGTGGTTCCACTTTTTTATTTTTTGTTCAAAAACACTTAACATCTCTGCCAACCTGGGGAACAGATAAAGAATTATCAGTGCTTTGTTTAACCTAGACTTGACTACAAAACAAAACAGAAAATTACTATTTATTCTTATTCTCATTTTATAAAGGCAAGATCATTTTAACACCCTTCCTTCAATGTTGGAAGGACATAATGACGGTGTTTTCATTTTTTTAAATAGCATTGAGGAAAGCACACTTAAAGAAAAGTTAAACACTGCCAATACTGGTAATGTCTGCATACCTGTGCTTGAAAACAGTTTACATAAATGGTTCTGGGTACATCGGTCTTCTAAGACATCTCCCAAACCCAATTATTTCTTGCCTACTTCTCTCCTATAAGTAGCTACATCATCTCAGAAGCAATAAGGACAGATGAGACTATAAAATTTATATTTTTAGAAGCTTGTAACCCTTGTTTTGGCACTTCCTGGAATAACTGATTGCTCACTGCACCAGGCATTTGACAGCCACACTTTCCCCCATGCATGTCTTTCATCACATAGAAAGCAAACCACTCAGGATAATGGAATAAAGTACCACATTAGGATCTGTAAGCATATGTGTATTTATTCATAACAATCTTGAAAATAATTTAAGGCATTTAAATCAATTGCACATGTATTCACCATATAATTTAATTAGTGATTATAGAAGGTACATAAGAGCTTCTATTACACTGTTTCTATTACAAATAATTACAAACAAAAAAATACTTGCACCATTAGGAATGGTATTCTCTTTGTAGACTGTAGGAGGGCAATTTGTTTAAAAGCTTCACTGATGTCATAGATGTAATAGCTATTTGTCATTTCAGCAAAATGCTGTAGGTATATCTCTGTTAAAGGAAACACTGTCACTGTAGTGCTTCACATGATATAAATATACATAATGAAGCCAATGGAGTTAGGCAATCACAATCTACTTAAATGGTCTGATTTTAAAATCAAATGGAATTTGGAAAAAGGAGGGGGAAATATTAACCTCAATTTTTTATATTTACCATAATAATATCCACCACCATTTAGTATATACTCATTTGCTCCTGGGCAGGGTACTAGATTTAACATATTTGATGCCTCCAGTTCTTACGAATAACTTTAATTCTTACAAGTAATCTTAACGTTACTCATCAGGAAAGTAAAACTCAGGCAGTACTTTAGGTCCATTGTACAGGGTCAAGTTAGATGCATCAGAATGTAAAGTTGTATAAAAATGTCGATATTATTTCCACTATAGCACATCACTAAGGTATAGTACTTTAGTGTAAATAATAAGTGAAAAATCCACTGTGACCTGCTTTTGCATTTCCTTTTAACCCAAAAGAGGCTAAATTATACACTGCTAGGTGCAGATGATCCCATGAACAGTTATATAAATTCAGATCTATTCACTGTTTCTAAATTTCATTGCAAATATTTTTGACTGCTTTAGTGAAAGCAAACAAAAAATGAATTCCTGTCTCAACAACATTCATAAGAAAAAATGAAAGACATTTTTTCTTCTTCCACAGTCAGAGACCAAACATAATCAAAAGACCTTCTGAACACTTAAAATATAAGATCAAAGGGAGAACCTCTTTCATGCAAACTAATACTGAACTTGACTGAGACAGTCAGCAACTTGACTGAGACAGACCTTAGTATTGCACTTTTTTCTCTCCCTCTTTTTCTTCCTCCTTCTTCCTCTCCTTCACTTTTTTTCTTTCTTTCTAAAAAAAAAAAAGAATCCCCTTAGCTTTTCTTCATCTAAGAATATCTTTCTTTTGCTTTCATAAAAAAAAAGTATTGCACTTTTTCCCAGCACTTCTGTTAACATTCTGCAGAACAATTACAGTGGACACAGAAATGTGCTATCCAGATACCTTTGTAAGGAAGGACTTCTTGCTCCAGCTATCAGCTCTTTTAGGGTTTGCCTCAGCCACAGAGAGATTTACCCAAGGGTCTGCCTCTTCCAGTGGTCGGGAGGGGAGTGGCTCCATATCCAATAGCTTACCGAAGTGCTAGTGTAAATGCCTAGCCATTCTGGTCAAAGGTAAGATAGCTTTGACCTGCTGCATATAATTCCAAGACTCTCCATGAGGCTGAATAAGGTTTTATTGTGCTTGAATGGCAGTTTGACTTTTCCTCTGCTTAATCCCTCTTCATCTCCCTCCGTTCCATGGGGTTGATCTCAAAATACCTTAAACACCAAGCCCCACTTCAGAACTGTTTCTAGAGAATCCTACATGTGAACTTGTAACCAGGAGTGGTCTGAGAAAACAAGGAATAAGATGGGATTTTGAAGCCAGGTAATTTACTACCCAGCAGGCAATGGAGACTCTGCTATTGGTGGTAGGGGAAGCACAGAGGGTTTCCATCACCAGATGTTAGTGAATTGTTTAAATTCCTTTCAATACTGAACCAGGATGATGTATTGGTGAAAAAGAATGCAATGTCTGGTGTAATTTACCAGGTGTATGAGAAAACCAGAGGAAGTAGGAACTATATTGAGATGAGATAGGATGACTATTGATTGCTTAGCTCCACTGGTATCTACCACCCTCCCCCTAAAAAATAAAAGTAAGTTATAAATGGCTACCAGGCAAATGAAGGCCAATTTTACAGTGAGATTCCTTGGTAGGTTATAAGGATTCTCTTATCTTTTGAAGTTGGGATGAGGCAGAGAAAGTTGTAGGCAGGACAAGGACTTACAGTCACAGTGGTCAATCTGTGACTAATCAGAGGAGGTTAACTGCTCAACCAAGGCACGTCTATTACTCCAAGGTCAAGACACTGTCTGGGAAATATATGGACGATGGATATCATTCTATTCTGTTAATTGGGACACATGAGCAAGAAGTGGATAGCACTCTGGAGGCCTCAGTAAAACACATAATCTTCAGAAGATAGGAGATGTATCTTAGGAAGATTCAGGGCCCTGCCAAATCAGTAACATTTTTAGTCAGCTAGTGTTCAAGGGTATTTTACAGTATCTCATACAAGTAAGAGGTAAGTTATTGCACATTGTACCTCCACTGTGAAGAAGGAAGGACAACACCTGGAGGCCTCTTCAGGTTCTGGAGGTAACATGTCCTACACTCAGGAATATAGCTAAAACCCAAACAACTGATGGCATGAAAAGCTGCCAGTTTTGAGCAAAACCCAGAGTAAGAAAAGACTGCACAGCAGGTCAAGATTGTGCCACTTGGGGTGTATGACCAGACTCTATGGTAATGGGAGCACCAGTGGTAATGTCACATGCAACTATGGAGACCCAGGTAGGAATCTTCCAGTGAAGATTCCTGGGGTTCTAAAGTGAGGCCAAGTCATCAACAATATCAATTTTATGTTGACTCCCAGTTTGCTATCTCATCCTGCTAGAAAAGGAATATCTAGTGATGAGACACTAAATGACCATGCATCTGGATTTCTTATCATGAGCTGAGTTCGTTCAAATCCTCCAAGTCATAAGGTGAAGCAGGCCTGGTGTTGCATCATAAGATGGGAAGAGTACTTGAATATATTTCGTATAAAGTATTTTTGTCATGAATGGGGCACAAGCAAACTGGTAACCCTAACTCCCATGTTGTCACAATGGTGCAACAGAGCTTCTTCCTCAGCTCATATATATGGTCATAAGAAGAATTATTTAAGATCGGGTAAGAGAAGAACAAAAAGCCTAAGTTTGGTTTGCAGATATGTGAACTTAGTATGTGAGTGTAAGCCACA